ATCATGGATTAGAAAATTTTAGCCAGAATATTTTTCCAATTGCTAGTTCGCTTATTTTTTGTACTCTTTGTGACATCACTGAAGCAAAGTATTCTTGACCATTTTGTTTCGTTTTTTATGTAAAAAATCAATCAAAACTCCCAGGACCGAATAAGTTAGACCAATTTATCTTGAGTTTTTAATTAAACCCATTTTTTCATGAAAATCTGAGATCTTTCTAAAAATATTGCAGACTGTTTTTCTGGTTACTTGAAATACAAGTAAACCCTCATCTTGTCCATGGTTATTTTCCGTTTAAAAGTTAATCTCTATAATAAATATATTAAAGAAAAGTTAAACTTTTCCATCAAGTCGTTTCAGAAGAAATTATGTCATAAGAATTATTCAAATATTAATTATTTTAAAGATCTTGTTTCCTTGAGTTACCATGCAGATTATGCACTCTAGCATTACAAGTATAAAAATACTAGAAATTCAAGGCGCTTCGCGCCCATCTCCTAAATTAATTGTGAACATGTTCTCTTTGTACATCGTAAAACAAAACAAAAATAATTCAAGGATTTTCACAAAAAATTTCGCGGATTTTCAAAATTTTTAAAAATTTAATGACGATCGAATTTTGATGGAGACAAATATTTGAAATTTTGATGATTCATAAACCTTCCCTGGAGTCCCTAGATGTCCCACAAAAAATTTGGGCCCGATCGGTTCAGCCGTTTTGACGTTTATTGGATACAAACAGACAGACAAACAGACAAACAGACAAGCCAAATTTATATTCTATATATAAATTTGGCTTGTCTGTCTGTTTGTCTGTTTGTTTGTTTGTTTGTATCCAATAAACGTCAAAACGGCTGAACCGATCGGGCCCAAATTTTTTGTGGGACATCTAGGGACCCCAGGGAAGGTTTATGAAAAATCAAAATTTCGAATATTTGTCTCCATCAAAATTCGATCGTCATTAAATTTTTAAAAATTTTGAAAATCCGCGAAATTTTTGTGAAAATCCGCGAATTATTTTTGTTTTGTTTTACGATGTACACAAAGAGAACATGTTCACAACTAATTTAGAAGATGGGCGCGAAGCGCCCTCTAAGGCTAGAAAGAAGGGCGCGAAGCGCCTTGAATTTCTAGTATAGATATACTTGCTTGGAAACCAAGCCTTGCTTGGAAACTATTTTTCCCTGTAAATGTCAACCCAGTCATTTCAAACAAAGCTAAGAACATTCCCGTGGTTCAACCGAGTTAACCAATCAAAGTTTGAGGCAAATCGGTCTAGGTGTTTACGAGTTATATGATCGGACATTAAAAGTTTAATTATGAGTTTATTTTCTACTGTTTTCTCTTTTTCATCAAAGATTAACAGCTCTCTTTATAAAATGCAAGCATTTTCATTTTAGATAAAGGATTATATATTCTTAAATTAAATAAACAGATAGAAAGATAGAAATAGATGGGAATCTCTATTTAATTAATTTGACATTTATTATAGTAACTTTCAACCCTACTTTAATAAATTTTAAAGGAAAAAAATAAGGGAAAACTATTTTATCATATTCTTAATCATGTTTTTAGCATAAAAATATAAATATAAAAACATACTTTATTTATTTTTTATTTTTGAAAATACATTCTGTTGAGTTTATCATTATTCTGAGCATTATGCAAAATCTCCAGAAAATAGTTTTAAATATAAATAGATTTTTGATGATATGAAACCGATGAAATTCTTCAAAAGTTTAAAAACGTGTCAACAGACTTTTCCGTGAAAGCTTGAGGAAATTGTTAAAGGATTTTCTAGAATACGGCTCGTCGGCCTGCAACACTTATTTTTATACTTTTACCTTGGGCTTTATTACTTTTGGCAAAATTTTCAAATACAGTGAAAACTTGACTTGATAAATTATTGAAAGAAAAGTATAAGCTGGCTGTCCTTGAACTTGATTTGATAAATTATTGAAAGACAAGTATAAGCTGGTTTGATAAATTATTGAAAGACAAGTATAAGCTGGCTGTCCTTGAACTTGATTTGATAAATTATTGAAAGACAAGTATAAGCTGGGCTGTCCTTGAACTTGATTTGATAAATTATTGAAAGACAAGTATAAGCTGGGCTGTCCTTGAACTTGATTTGATAAATTATTGAAAGACAAGTATAAGCTGGGCTGTCCTTGAACTTGATTTGATAAATTATTGAAAGACAAGTATAAGCTGGCTTTCCTTGAACTGAGCGTAAGCATGTAACGAGACTATCTAGGCGCTTAGAGTCCATCTTTTTATCAATGATTTTAGCTCGTTCTTGCAAAAAAAAACCCAGCAAATCTGAAGAAATTAGTCAAATTTTGCAATGTCAGTTTTACGTCGCTCTCTCTGTGAAAACCCATCAACGCTGTTATTCAATCGAAGTTTAGAACAGGGAAACTTAAACATGGGACCTTATTTTATTTCTTTAAAGGAATTGAGTTTTTGCCACAAACTCAAATTTTCTAATCCTTATATCTTGGCAACCTAATGGTGGAAACCCTTGATATTTTAAACTTAGGTTATTTGATCTAACAGAATTCATAGTTTGAAATATCTAACGTCAACGAAATTGGATTGCAAAGATAAAGGTATTAGAAAATCAGAGTTTGTGACAAATACTCAATTCCTTTATCTTTCAATATCTACACTAAATATACTCATGCAATAAGTTTTGTATCGCATCTGTTTTTGACTAATCTCATGAATCATTAAATGCAATATTGAGATGAAGAAGAAAATGTATACTTTTAAAACTTTTTAATGCAATTCAGCTTTTGAGCCAAATATAAACAAAGGAATTGTGTCTGTGTCACAAACTAAAATTTTCTAATCTTTGCAACCTGATGCTGATATTTTCATAACGAAGATTATTTGATCTAACAGAATTCATAGTTTGAAATATTTACGGTTTACGTTATTGCGTTGCAAAGATATAGGGATTCATAAAATTTAGTTTGTGGCTAAGACTCAAAACTCTACACTCATTCAACTTTTATATCACACTCTACACTCATTTAACTTTTATATCACACTCTACACTCTTCCAACTTTTATATCACACTCTACACTCTTCCAACTTTTATATCACACTCTACACTCTTCCAACTTTTATATCGCTCTACACTCTTCCAGCTTTTATATCACACACTACACTCTTCCAACTTTTATATCACACACTACACTCTTCCAACTTTTATATCACACACTACACTCTTCCAACTTTTATATCACACACTACTGTCTTCCAACTTTTATATCACACACTACACCCTTCCAACTTTTATATCACACACTAAACTCTTCCAACTTTTATATCACACACTAAACTCTTCCAACTTTTATATCACACACTACACTCTTCCAACTTTTATATCACAGACTACACTCATCCAACTTTTATATCACACTCTACACTCTTTCAAATTTTATATCACACGATACACTCTTCCAACTTTTATATCACACTCTACACTCTTTCAACTTTTATATCACACTCTACACTCTTTCAACTTTTATATTACAAACTACACTCTTCCAATTTTTATATCACACACTACACTCTTCCAACTTTTATATCACACTCTACACTCTTCCAACTTTTATATCACGCTCTACACTCTTCCAACTTTTATATAACACTCTACACTCTTCCCACTTTTATATCACACTCTACGCTCTTCCAACTTTTATATCACACACTACACTCTTCCAACTTTTATATCACACACTACACTCTTCCAACTTTATATCACACACTACACTCTTCCAACTTTTATATCACACTCTACACTCTTTCAACTTTTATATCACACACTACACTCTTTCAACTTTTATATCACACACTTCTCTCTTTCAACTTTTATATCACACACTACTGTCTTCCAACTTTTATATCACTCACTACACTCTTCCAACTTTTATATCACACACTACTGTCTTCCAACTTTTATATCACACACTACACTCTTCCAACTTTTATATCACACTCTACACTCTTTCAACTTTTATATCACACACTACACTACTCCAACTTTTATATCACACCCTACACTCTTCCAACTTTTATATCACACACTACACTCTTCAAACTTTTATATCACACACTACACTCTTCAAACTTTAATATCACACACTACACACGTCCAAAATTTTCACTTACTTTATTTATGTATGAAACATTCACAAGTCGTATTTCAAAATAAAAACAAAAAGAACTCCGACATAAACAAAAAGAACTCCGACATAAACAAAAAATACGACAAAACCATCTCACACCATATTTCAACCAACAAGGACAAAAACTAGTTAATTATAAATACAAACTATTTCTCACAAAAAGCACACACACATTTCATAATTGAATAATTAGAAATTTCATTCTTTAATTTTAATTTATTATCAATCATTAACAATATAATTACTTTATTGCACTTTGGCACTAGTTGAGAGTATTATATTTTATCTCTCATAAATATATATTATATATATATTATCAAACCATTATATAATTATATATAAAAACATATATAATTACATTTAGGATTTAAATTATTTGAGAATTATCTAGGTTTAAGATACTCCAGGATAACTTTAAATAATTCTAAGAATTTAGAAAACTAAAAATAAATTTTGATGCAGAGTTTTCAACTAGCTCTGGAAGACTGGTCAAGTATGAATCTTGTAATAATTATAATAATTAAGCCTAGATATAATTCACGGAGAACTTATCTAACCCTGTGCACAGTATGTTCTAAATAATCAGAACTTGATATTAGAGAAAGGTTTAAAGGTCTTCAAGGTTTCATTGGTATTTAGATCTGTATCTTTAGATTATGAAGATATATATACTTAAACATTAGTCAATGTAATTAGAAGTTAGTGTGCCTGTCAAATAATTGTGTCTATTAAATCAATGTCTATGATGCCTGTTAAATATATGTCTGTGTTGCCTTTTACGTATATTTCTATGTTGTCTGTTATATGTGTGTGTCTGTGTTTTTTGATAAATATATGTCATGTTGTCTGTCAAATGGTGTCTGTGCTGATACAAATCAAAAGTTTGTCTGTTAAAGTGTCTGTAATTGCGTCTGCTAAGTAAATTTTTTAAAAATATTGTCTATGGTCCATGAATAACTTTGTGTGAATGTATATATTTACATGTTCTCTGAATTTGATTGAATGTACTTTGTATGCAATGCCTTTTAATTCATGCCTTTGATCAAAAGATTAGATGATTTAAAGGTAAAAATAAAAATTTAAAAAAAAACTGTGAAAGTTTATTTAAAAAAAGAGAGCTGGTGTCAAATAATAGAAGATTTTACTTCCAAGAACAGATTTGAAATGAAGACGAAGAGATAAACTATCTTTTAACTAGAATAAATGTTTAATGTGTTTATAAAGAAAGATGTTTAATGTGTATGAAGGATATGTGCTGACATATGGGTAAGAAAGATGTTTAATGTGTATGAAGGATATGTGCGGAGATATGGATAAGAAAGATGTTTAATGTGTATGAAGGATATGTGAAGAGATATGGATAAGAAAAATGTTTAATGTGTATGAAGGATATGTGCTGAGATATGAATAAGAAAGATGTTTAATCATAAAGGATATGTGCTGAGATAAGAAAGCAAGTCCTAAGTTTGCCAAATGACCTTGTATAAATACTGTTATAAGACACAGGGTTAGCGGTGGGTAATATTAAAGGTCAGTTGACTAGATAACATGGGGGAGGGGGGGGGGTCTTATTGCAAAAAAGTGAAAGTATCAAACGTGTTACACAGCAATAAATAATTTTGGACCTTTACAAAAATTAATGAAAGAATAACTTATCAAAGAAGAAAGAATGAATCCTGGAGTTAATTAAATTCTGGTCCAGGTTTATGCAAAAACAGGAGAAAATGAGAGGAATTCCTGCAAATGAAGCGGTCTGTTTACATTAATTAGGGATAAATTATATCCTAGGAACTAGTTTAAATGTTTATACAGAATTCTTGTCTCTTGAGAACCAAACTTGGTTTTACAGGTTTAACATTACTTCTCTCAATATACTTCAACTTCTCACTCGTGCTAAACTCAGATAAAAGAACACTTTTAACAGAGAGATCTGTCACGCGGGGAGAGAGGGTTTTGATCAACGGTGGGCTGGGTGGACTAAGGGACCTAGGAGAACCCGATGACGGAGATGAATCTGCAGAGTCCCGAGGTGAGGATCCTGTAGAGTCGGAGCTAGATCTTCTCACTAGCTGACTCACAGGTATAGATTGGGTGGTTATTCTAAACCCGATATCCTCGTCGTTTAGTGTAATACTAAGTTTATGCTCATTGTTTACTGACTCACTGTTTAGATCTGGGTTATCACTAAGATCTGGTTCTCCGGATACCTGAACTACGGTAACATCTCTACAAGAGATTGGTTCCTCGGAGTAACCACTCTCATCACTAATAGTATCTTGATCTGAGACCTTCATTTTACCGAGACTTTGAGGCAATCCTTCCCCCTGGTCGGAGTCGAATTGGTCGGATAATGAGTTTGAATCAGATTCTCTGGTAGGACTGGATTTCTGAGTGGAGCAGACCGAACCTGACCTGCCCTGGCTGGCTGGACTAGAGCTCTGGGCGGAGTCAACCTGAGTTCCGCCCAGGTAGTCCGTTATCATATCCTCCTCATCACTCTCCTCCTGGAGGTAGACGGAGGAGTAATCAAGCTTAGAGTTGGGTAGAGGAGGTACACGAGGTTCCTCTCCTAGTCGCAGACTCAACGGATCAACATGAACCTCAGCAACATGACTCTCTACACACTCATATTCATACTCATAATCGTCCTCCTCCTCCTCCTCTAGGTCCACCTCCTCTATAGAGGTGAGCTTAGGAGCACTTTTACTCCGCTCAATCGGAGGTTTATAGTTGTTGGTTCCTGCCTGTAGGAGAAGTTTCCTATACGGCATACTTGGATTTTCATGAATAGAATTAGCTAAACTTAATCTAGCGTTCTGTCTTGAGATCTTGTCCTTTTTAAAGTCCACGAGGGCCTGATGTAACCGGTTTTGTAAGTTGGTTCCCATTTGCCGCGCCTTGTCCTCTTTAGGACAGAGGACAGCGTGGCAGCGGAGTTCCTGCTTCATTTTCCGACCTTCGTGCCTGAAATACAAGATGCATCTTAAATCTGACAGTTCAAATTAAACATATTTTGACTTTCTTAATTGATCACCGGAACTCCAAACCAAAACTAGAACCAACACCAAACCAAACCAGAACGAAGTTGCCAAGTTTTGAGATGATAGAGAGTAAAATACGCGCTAACACCCAACCAGACGGAACGGAAACATCATGTAGTCATTTTAACAACTTGTATTTCGGAGTAAAAGTCTTATTTTCTATCGAAAGATTTAAAACATGGAAAACTCGTAAAGCGACATTTTACTGATAAATGGGACACGTAGGTTAGGAACATGATGAGTTTGCATAAAGATACTTAGAAAGAAAGAAGTCTTAATCAACCTATGCTCTAACTTATGTCCCCCCTCCCCCTCCTTCCTCCCCCCTACACGCCTACACACTGATTTAGATTAACAAGGAGTATGAAGAGAAGGTTGTTAAAACAAGAAACTAGAAACTAAATGCATTTATCCTTTCAAAATGGCGGGGCGGGGGGGGGTGGTGGTATTTGCCCCCTAGTTATCTACCTGTATATCCAACAGAAAACCCTGGGATAGGATGGATGAGCTACACTGTAGGTAATCCTGTTCGCCCAGTATTCTGTGAGTCCGTGCTCCTTGGTAACAGCTCTGAGCCCACTGTTGACCACGGTAACCTTCATGATGATATCCTGCTTGTCGGAGCTGATGTGGTTCCTCCACAGGGTGGAGAGAGGTTTATCAACACATCCATCTCCTGAAAATACTCAGGGTTAGAACACTACCAGGAGTAATTGTAAAAGAGTGATAAATCAATCAAAACAAACGTAAAAAATGAAACAGTCAACACACACAAAGAATAGAGAAACAAAGGATGAATTGTATCCATGACGAGGTAGATACTGGAACAGATGGAACTCTTGTTTCTAACCATGGTTTTCAAGTGTAAAGATAAAAGTTGTTTACAAGGAAACAAGATTTCATCTCACTTCTACTAAATGTATTCTATTTAGACTTAAAAATTCTGATTTTGGATTTTTTTATTTACTTTCATGCTTTTATTTTTAAGATGGAGAAAACCAAAGAATTGAAAGAAAGGTAGGATAAAGTAGGATATATGAAATAGGAAAGAACTGAATGGGTAAAAATGAAATAGGAAAGACCGGAATGGGTAAAAATGAAATAGGAAAGAACGGAATGGGTAAAAATGAAATAGGAAAGAACTGAATGGGTAAAAATGAAATAGGAAAGAACGGAATGGGTAAAAATGAAATAGGAAAGAACTGAATGGGTAAAAATGAAATAGGAAAGAACGGAATGGGTAAAAATGAAATAGGAAAGAACTGAATGGGATAAATGGAATAAGAAAGAACGGAATGGGTAAAAATGAAATAGGAAAGAACGCAATGGGAAAAAATAGTAAAGGAAAGAACGGAATGAGAATTATCGGAATTGATAAGAATGACATGGGTACGAAAGTGGTAAGAACTGAACAAAGCTGAAGGTTTGATGAGAAAAAAGAGAAAGAAGAATAAAGAGGAAATTTTATAAAATAAGTTCAAGTGTACTTCATAAATTTAACAATGATAAATATGAATACATAATGATGTATTACTTATACACACATGTACATGTATATATATATACACATGTATATATATATATACACAATGAACATATATGTATGTATATACATATCTATATATAGATGTCTGGCTAGAATATATACTACAAAGTTCAATAGATAGATAGAATCCTAACTATCTCATATCTTGTTGAAGTCATAGATATCATAATTCTCAGTCAAAATATAAATCTTCAGTTAATTTAGAATATGTTCTACTCTCCTTTGATAAAATTAATATAAAATTGATTAGTTACAGTATTTAGTTTATTCAAGCTAATATACATTTACATTTGAATTATTAACAAAAATTGTTCACGAAGAGATTTAAGTAGATACTACTGATAATTTTCTAAAGCGTCCAATACCCATTAAATTGTCGCCACACCCTAGAACAGGGAATAAAAAGTTCTGAAAACACAGATTTTTTTATCATTGAAATCATGATTTTGTTTCTTTATTTTTTCTTAGCTCGCGGGTAATGTTTCATTGAGTATATAATTCTTGGACCCCCAAGCACTAGAGGCAGTGTAAACCCCTACGCGCGCCCAGGCAGTGTGCGCCCCTACATGCACCCAGGCAGAGTGCGCCCCTACATGCACCCAGGCAGTGTGCGCCCCTACCTGCACCAATGTGCGTGCATGTGTGCTTGACCTCGGAATTCTTAAGGCCTACTGCTGCCTGTCACACACAAACACTACACACACACAGACATTCAGGCATAGACGTGTAGATCGGAAAGAATCTGACCATGTTACATGCGAGTACAAAAGCAATATTTATTTTTAAACACGAGGTACTTAAAGTTAAAAAAAAATGTCCCCACAACACTTGAAATCTATGCAAAGAACGATGAAGAATAAAAAGCAATAAATTAAAGAGATTAAACTACATGAAAGAGGCCAAGAAGGTCAAATATTGCAGTACATTACAAATATTGCAATACATTACAAATATTGCAGTACATTACAAATATTGCAGTACATTTTATATTTATTCTATACAGGGGTGTTTACATTATACTCCTAGTTTACTATTTACTGCAGTACATTACAAATATTGCAATACATTACAAATATTGCAGTACATTACAAATATTGCAGTACATTACAAATATTGCAGTACATTACAAATATCGCGGATTTCTACAAAAATCAAATTAATAAAATTTCCAATCAAAATAAAACGTAGAACATATTAAAAAAGGAGAAGGCGAGATGGAGGATGAAAAGAATATCGTAGAAAGAAATTCTTTAAAGTCATTCTTGTACATTTGTTTAAGGAAGAAAGTTTGTTTATTCTTTCCTGTTGTATCTCAATACCTCCTTCCCCCCTGCCCCTGCCCATCCCACCCTTCCCATCCCGGTACGCAGGAAGAATAATTTACAATTTATGAATCATCCTTATACGCAGAACCTAGCAATCTTTGTGTAAACTTGTATATTTGTAAACAAACACTAGAAGTGTACATGAGAGGTTTATTCTGCTGGGGTTCCAGTGTTTACGGTAAACTAGTGCGGTGTTTACGATAAACTAGTGTTTACAGTAAACTAGTGTTTACGATAAGCTAGTGTTTACGGTAAACTTGTGTTTACGGTAAACTTGTGTTTACGGTAAACTAGTGTTTACGGTAAACTAGTGTTTACGGTAAACTAGTGTTTACGGTAAACTTGTGTTTACGGTAAACTAGAGTTTGATAAACTGGGTTTAAGAGGATTGTCCCGTTAAATATTGGGCGGGAACTATATACAGGAGAAGAATTATTATATTCTGGAGAAATCTGAATTCTTTACACTTAGCACTCAGGCATTTCTGCAACATATGTCCAGTCTGGCCTGTAGGTATATACAGATACCTCATCCAGGTTTACAGGATACTTGGAGCAGGTTCAGGAGTAGGATACAGTTCTTACAGGATACTTGGACCAGGTACAGGAGGAGGATACAGTTCATACATGATACTTGCACCAGGTTCAGGAGGAGGATACAGTTCTTACAGGATACTTGGAACAGGTTCAGAAGGAAGATACAGTTCTTACAAGATACTTGGATCATGTTTAGAAGAAGGATACAGTTCTAACAGAATACTTGGACCAGGTTCAGGAGTAGGATACAGTTCTTACAGAATACTTGGAACAGGTTCAGAAGGAGGATACAGTTCTTACAAGATACTTGGATCATGTTTAGAAGAAGGATACAGTTCTAACAGAATACTTGGACCAGGTTCAGGAGGAGGATACAGTTCTTACAGGATACTTGCACCAGGTTAAAGAGGAGGATACTAAGAGTAAGTTTAGGAAATGTGCAATACTTAAAGCAGATTTAAAAGGTTAAAAGTATAGAGCAGGTTTATTTTCTTTAAATTATATAATTGGTGTTAAATTATAAAGTTGTTTCAATAATTGTTCAGTAATATGACCGGGGTCTATAAATACAAGGTTAGGATTCGTAATCTTGAAGGATATTTCTCTAGTCTGAGTAATAATATCAAGTTCTTAATTTCATTGCAATTTACTAAATTAGTGAAAACGTGAAGTGTAATGTATGAAGTTAAAGATATATAATTGTTGGAATTGTATGAGGTTATTTATTTCTAATCTGCGCTCACAAATTTAAGAAAATAAAATGTCTTTTTCATGTTTTACCACCCACCTAGAAACGGTATAAGAAGGTTGACCAATTTTAAAGGATGTGTAGTGTATACTGTAAAAGGAAAATGTGGATAGGTAAGGGGACATGAAATATGGGAATTGAGCAGTGGGTAAGGGTTGGAAAGGTGGGAGGGGGTGACGTGGGGGTTGATGGGGGTTTTCAGATAGGGTTTACTGACTCTCCGAAGGGGAAACCAATATTATTTTTATTTACTTTATATTTTATAATCCTGCTTACTAATCCCACTTGTCTATTTAACCATAAATAAACAATTAAAATATCTAAATAAAACGATCTCTAAAAATTCTAACCCAAAAAATTTGTAAATACTCTTTTGTTCAGCTGGAAAAAGACAAGGAACACTGTTGCAAAACATGTCATAAGGTCAAAAACTTGTTAAAGAAAAAATTGCGACGAAGAATCAGTAAACTACGCAGTTGAAAGTCAAGGTTTGTTTCATGTCAAAACTATGATGACGTCATCAAATGGTTTTCTAGAAACTTAAAAACTTTTTTCTAGATTATTGGGAGTAATTGTGTTTTGAAAACTTTGAAGGTTAGCAGTTGTTATCAAAATTCTTGAAGGAGCAATATAAAATCTAACCTAACCTACATCGAATTTCTAGTAAAGTAAAAATCAGGAGAACTGAGCAATACTTGAGCAAATGTGCAACAAAACCAAAAATGCTTAATGTTTCTTTTACCTTTCGCCCATCCGGTGAGTACATTCCCCAAATATATGACTCGATAAGTTGGATCATAATCAGTGATATTCGCGGATTTCCTCTTCCAAAAACTTAATTTTGCCGGTAGCCGCTCTTTAATCGTCCCATGGTCTCCGTCCTTGCTATCCGTACTCCGGCTCCGGACAAAGGACGGAATACTCAACCCTCTCATATGCCAGCGAGATCGCCGTCTTGGCTCCTGAAAACAAAAATAGATTAATTTCCTCGTCATAGTTGAATAGAGTCTGATCTTTTATTTTTATACAGATAAATAGAAAGTATTATGATATATTAAGATCACGCAACATTTGAATTATCTGATTTTCATGAAGTATCCCGAGTACAGGGTTAAAGAAAGGAATTTTGCACCTCACAGATTTAAACCTTTTCACTGGGTTCTCAGAAATATATTTCGATAATTCTTAGAACCAGGCGCTCAGATGAAAGCGTTAAATTCCAAAGGTTTTTACGCCATTAAACCGATCGTAAAATGTCAGGCCGGACCATATAGTTCTCCAGGTCCTCCTCTGGGTAGTATATAAATGCTCATATGTTTAGATCAACATTTGACAATATTTTCATCAATACAATGAAAAATGGTTCCCGCCTCTCAAAACCACGAATTGGTTTATTTATCGTGATCCAGCGAAGCGACCGGATGCGCTTTATCAGTTCATTTCCGGTTTGGAAATCATGCACGGTTACATTGTTTTAATTTTATGCCGAGCAAAAACATTTTCAAAGAATAAGATATAAAAAGGGTTGGGTTGGAAAAAGAGAAATCTTCTAAATCTTTTATTGTCTTATCATTTATATATATATATATCTTATCAGAACGTTAAATTAGAGATGAATACAGATTGTAGGGAACCAATGAGAGGGGATTGGATAGAAATCACGAGAAGGTTGGAATAAAACTTGGATTGAGATAAATCAAGACATGGAGAAGGTTCGATTTTAACGATGAGAAGGTTGGAGTAGAACTAGGAGAAGATAGGATTGAAACTGCAGAAAGTAGTTTAAAAACGTAGTAAGTATTTAAACTCTGAGAATTTAAGATTCAAAATGAAGAAAAAGGATGAAAATGTAGGATTTAAACCTGGATAAGTTGGGATTCAAGCCTGGAGAAGTATGCTAAACATTTGGAGAATACAGGATTAAAACCATGAGAAGTTAGGATTTAAACCTGTAAAGGACAGGTAGGATTAAAACCCGAACATTGTAGGATTTAAATATGGAGAAGTTGGATTTAATTCAGGTTAAGGAAAGATTAAAAAACGGGCAAACATAGTTTTTGCATTGTCTCGTTTGCATGAAAACCCGGCCAGGATTTAAGGCCGTGAAGAAAAATCATAAAATATTCTATACAATGCCTCTGGATCCCCCCCTTCCCTTCTTCCTTCATTCATTATGAATAATAAGGTTAAAACATGTTATAATTTAATCTACTTTGTCCTTGAAGGCACTGAAATACAAGTTCATAGTTTTAATAATTGATTTATTCTAAACATTTCATGTTATACTTATACATTCTAAGCAAAAAAATAAAATAGAATTCATTAATGCCTGATTTTTTCGAAATGTGAAAATGTTCATTATCAATTACTTTTTTTGTAATTATTGTAATTATTTTCTTAAGGTTTCTTAAATTTTTTAATAATTGCCATCTAGAATAATCAATGTTTTCAAGAACAGGTCAGTGCTGATTAAACGAAAAAGTATAAAAATTGAAAAGATAAATTAAATCCTTTTATCCGATTTTAAGATTAATTTTTTTTTTAATCTTTTGGTTCAAGACCAAGATGGGTTTATTTTTCATAACTTTTTATGAATGTAAAATGGCAATCCATGTAACAGAAATTAGATAGAAGGATAAATTTAATTTAAACATGCAATTTTTAGATATATGAACAAAAATGTGTTAGAAGATAAGAGGTTAATAAATTCAAATACAATTTTAGAAAACACGATTGTAAAAATAAGCAAGGGAAAGGGGAAGCACCACATTAACATCAAACTGATAAGACCTATTTTTAGATTTGAGTTTGTTGATAACCTAATCTTTTTCATATTTTTTGTTGATAAAAAAATTCATCAAAAAATCACAGATAAAATGCAGTTTAGGAAGCATCGGAAGGAGAAAACTAAAAATAAATTTAAAGATTATAAATTTATTTTAATAGATTTTCTCTGGCATTTAAATCTGCTAATATGGATGACGTAGTTACCACGGCTCTTTATTATGTTTAAATATTTACATATATGGTAAGATGGCGTAGATGTAAGTCAAGTTGACCAAAGCAAAGGAGGGGCCTCACCTTCATTTACATTTTTAAAGATTTATTACAGAGCCTCAAATATCAGGGTTTAATTCATATTTCATGATCCCAAACTAGGGTTTATATTTAGAAAAACCAGTTGCATAGATTAAACAACTGAAAATGTTAAACAAGGGATTCAAAACAGGTTTCATATTATCTAGAGCAGTTTTACACTTCACGTTAGCGACTCATAATTAAAAATCGAAATAAAGTTTTTTTTTGCGTTTTACACTGCAGTTTGCTGTACAAAGGTCGTTGCCAAAAATATGAATATTTTAGAATAGAATAAATATTATATTGTTCGTCTAAAACGTAGAAAAACTTCGATGTTCATAAATGCGTAGCAAATTCTGTACATAAACTTATCTGTACAAAAAGTTGTATATGTACAAAAACTTATGTATCTGCACAAAAGCTTGAATCTGTACAAAAGCTTGTATCTGAACAAAAACTTATTTGTACAGAAACTTTTATCTGTGCAAAAACTCTGTACAAAAACTTATCTGTACAAAAACTTTTCTGTAAAAAAACTTATCTGTAAAAAAACTTATCTGTACAAAAACTTATCTGTACAAAAACTTATCTGTACAAAAACTTATCTGTACAAAAACTTATCTGTACAAAAACTTTTATCTGTACAAAACCTTTTATTGGTAAATAAACTCTGTACACAAACTAATATAGGTACAAAATCTTGCATCTTAACAAAAACTAGTATCTGTAAAAAATTTATATCTGTACAAAATCTTGTATCTGTACAAAAACTCTTCTGTACAAAAACTTGTATCTGTACAAAACCTTGAAGTTGAATCTGTACAAAAACTTGTATCTGTACAAAACCTTGAAGTTGAATCTGTACAAAACCTTGTATCTGTACAAAACCTTGAAGTTCAATCCGTACAAAATCTTATCTATGGGAAGCTGTACAAATTAGACTGTAAAATACTATATCGTACAATGAACTTTTTTGCAGTGCTTTTTCTAGTGCATGGGCAAATTTATCTAACTTTAAAAAGTTAAACGAAAAAGTGCAAGTTTAAAATATATTTAAAGACAATTTAAATTGATTTGAATTAAATTGACAGAGCAAGTGTGAAACGTCTAATGCACACAGAAAATTATGAAAAATATCAACTAGCAAGGAAGAACAATCAGCGTGAGCGAAAAGAGAGCCGATTTATGAATGTATTATATATTTTTTAAAAATCCGGAAATAAGTGGAGAGAAGAAATTTTTCCATTTTGAAACTTTATCAACATGAGATATATTTATCTAGAAATATTTAGAAACTTTATCAACATGAAATATTATTATCTAGAAATATCTAGAAACTTTATCAACATGAAATATTATTATCTAGAAATATCTAGAAACTTTATCAACATGAAATATAATTATCAAGAAATATCTAGAAACTTTATCAACATGAAATATAATTATCAAGAAATATCTAGAAACTTTATCAACATAAAATATAATTATCTAGAAATATCTAGAAACTTTATATACATAAAATATAATTATCTAGAAATATCTAGAAACATTTTTCCTCCAATAAATATCAAGTGTGCAAAGTGGAAAATAAAGATATAGCTTCTTACCCACATCAGTAGATGATTTATATTATTTAGAAATAAGAAGAAAAATCTTTCTTTCAAACTTATCAAAACTTGGAAAAAATAGAAATAAAAACTATTTTTAAATACGCAGAAAAGCTTGCCAGTTCTTAGGTGGGGGTATCTGGAAGTGTATATAGGGGGGGGGGCAAGGCGGGGGTTCAATGAGATTGTCAAAATCACTATGGGGTGGCGTTTTAAAAATAAATTTCTCACCATGGGGTAATTTTTGAAATGCGTAGTTTTAATTCAAAACCACACAATTCTCCCAAAGGAATTGAGTCTTTGCCACAAACTATGATTTTCTAATCCCACTATCTTTGAAACCCAATGTCGTAAACCTTTGATATTTCAAACTTATATTTCTTGATCTAACAAACCTAGTTTGAAATGTCAAAGGTTTACGACGTTGGAATCCAAAGATATACGGATTAGAACATCAGAGTTTGTGGCAAAGACTCAATTCCTTTGAAAAATTGTGTAATTTTCTTTAGACGTTCATAGAAGATGTAAAGACGGCATCTATATTAAAAGATTTAACATATTTCAGAGACTGTAAGCGTAATATAAAGTGACCCTCCGGGGAAAGATGGCAATGCCGGATTCACAACAGTACCCTTGAAACCTATTTGAAGATCTGAAGATAGTATGTTCGAGGATCACTTGAAATTACACTTAAAGTCCCTAAATAAGCGTTAATTCACGAAGAGAAATTATCTGATATCAAATCTTTTAAAGAGATTTCTATATACAAAATTAGTAGATGGACTTGTATAACAACAATGTCATTATTTTACTTCTAGACGTCATTTCTTAGAAAGATTTTTTTTTCTTTATACATTTTAAACATAAACTTGTTATAACCATGATCGATCAAAACAACAAGATTTGCTTCATTTGTAAATTAGTTTTATAATCTTTTTCATTATAATATTCAGAACAATTTAAAAATTATAAACATAATAAAACTTGAACTTGAACATATGGTGAAGAGTACTAAAGTTCTAGTTTTCTTTAGTTTCAAGGATAAAAAGAAGACATATGTAATATGTTTAATTAACATAGGAAACGTTTAGTTGACCTAAATGTGTATACAGATATATATAGATATATATATTATATCCCTGACAAGTGCATCCATTAGAAAGCAAAGCTAAAACTTTGTAGACATACTATTAGATCATTTAATCTCATTTTATATATATATATATATATATATGAATGATGGAAGGATAAAATTATGCAAATATTTCACCTTTTCCTTCTCTTGGTTCATTAGGGAGTTGGTGCGTATCCGAGTATCCGATATAACAGGTAGATTATACTAGCTCCAGGCTACATCATTCAATACAAAACTAACCATTTCTTCTACACCCTGCCTTAACTTAGATCTGATTTAAAGGATATATGGTAGAATCGTCCTGGTTATATTAAACCAGTGTTTAGGTTTTATAACTGCACAGGGTTGTATACATGTTTTAAGTTAACTCCATGTTGATGGTTGTTCAGTATCTGTCACTTTTAATGTTAGATCTAGGATGATATTCTCCAGTAGTACCCGGATATACTGATTTAGTTTATTTGTTGATTTATTAACAGAGAATAACTGGATTGATGTTTTTTTCTCCGAGTACTGATGGTAACTAGAGAAAATATTTAAGATTTTGTTTTGTTTAGCTCTCTTCGCTCCGGTGTATTCTAACCAACTGATTCACACTGAGAGTTGAGAACGGAGGAGACTGAACTGAAGTAGAGTGTAGAGGGTAGACCGAACCTACCTGATCCGTCCTACCTGCCTCCCCCCTCCCCCCACCCCTAGACAACACTTGTTGGGGGAGTCGGGTTGAGAATTGGGTGGGTAGCAGCTAACTCGTTGTTGGGCCCCGCACTAATACATTCTTAGGCACGTATTCTCATCTGAACCAATCTATCCCCCCCCCCTCCCCCTTCATCCCATCAGACCCTCCCACCCGTTCAACATATCATCCACTTTCTCATTCCATTCCAGTTTAGCAATTATACATTTACAGGAGGATTAATGGTAAAACTAGGGAGCAAGGGGAAAGATAAAATTTTTTAGTTCCCTGATGAATTTATGAAAGCTGCAAAAAATAAAAAGTTTATAAGTAAAACAGAAAATTAGTGGTTTTTAAACAATTGAAAAGAAAATTTTTTTCATCAAACGGAGATTTTATAATCCATATATCTTTGCAACCCGCTGTTGTAGACATGAGATATTTCACATATTTCATGAATTTTGCTAGATTAATTATTATTAGTTTGATATATTCAAGGTTTTCACTATCAGGTTGCAAATTTATAGTGATTGGAAAATTTGAGTTTGTAGCAACATCTCAGTTCCTTAAATAAATCAGTTTGAAAGAGAAAAAAAATGATTACCGTAAACTGCTAAAAAAAAATCCCAGAAAGAAGGAAGGGTCGACTCTGATTATTTCTTCAGAAGCACAAAGCTTTGTTATCTAATATCTACCCAACAATGTCTACCCATATTTAGTTTATAAAAAGGTGTGTCAGGTCAGGTGTGCGTTGTTTGATTACACGTCAATATCAGGACTATATTCATATTCAGAATATTAACCAGTTCACAAACTACGTAATTCTATTTTCAGATTAAATTTTTTAAAATTCATGCTGAACTTAATTTTGAAATACATGCTGAACTTAATTTTGAAATACATGCTGAACTTAATTTTGAAATACATGCTGAACTTAATTTTGAAATACATGCTAAACTTAATTTTAAAATACATGCTCAACTTAATTTTGAAATACATGCTAAACTTAATTTTGAAATACATGCTAAACTTAATTTTAAAATACATGCTGAACTTAATTTTAAAATTCATGCTGAACTTAATTTTGAAATACATGCTGAACTTAATTTTAAAATACATGCTGAACTTAATTTTAAAATACATGTTCAACTTAATTTTAAAATACATGCTGAACTTAATTTTAAAATACATGTTCAACTTAATTTTAAAATACATGCTGAACTTAATTTTAAAATTCATGCTGAACTTAATTTTAAAATACATGTTCAACTTAATTTTAAAATACATGCTCAACTTAATTTTAAAATACATGTTCAACTTAATATAAAAAATACATGCTCAACTTAATTTTAAACTGAATTATATGATCTTCATTGTTTTCTTCGAAATGAAACGCCTTTGGGCTAAATTAGATGACAAAAAAATTTATTCTTCAAAGTAACTGATTAAGTTAGACTGAATTATATTTTCTAATTCTTATATATTTAAAACCTAATTTGATGTTTTAAATTTTGACTTCATAAAACAGAATTCAAAGTATTAAATATCAAAGGTTTCCGACATCAGTTTGCAAATATATAAGAATTAAAAAATTACAGTTTTATTAGAGTAATAGTTATTTAGCGTGATAACCAAACAAAATGGAAAGAGAAGAAAGCATTCTGGGATTTCATATTAGCGGTTCATCTGACAAATATTCAATTTGAAATTTTTTTATGAATAATATTGCCTAAATCAGGTTTTCAAGCTTGGAAACACCAAGTCTGCAAATTCTAATTGAATTAAAATGTTAGAAAACCCGAATTCAGATGATAAATAGAAATATTGGCAAAATGAAGTTGTTTTTTTTGGAAAATGTTAGAATGTCTTTTTTTCGACAAAAAACATTGTAAACCAGTTCCTGCACTTTCTTCATTTTAATCCATATATTGATGATAGTAAAGATTAGGACTGAACAAAGGTATTCTCATTAAATAAAATCCAAAAATGTGCCTGAATCTTTAACGAAACAATATTTGTTGTAAGTTTAAAACATAAGTTGCAAGAAACTATTTTTTTACGGGCTTAAGTCATTCATAAAATATTTAATTATTTGTGTACAATAACCCCTCTCATATGCCAGCGAGATCGCCGTCTTGGCTCCTGAAAACAAAAATAGATTAGATTCCTCGTCATAGTTGAATAGAGTCTGATCTTTTATTTTTATACAGATAAATAGAAAGTATTATGATATATATTGCAGTACATTACAAATATTGCAGTACATTACAAATATCGCGGATTTCTACAAAAATCAAATTAATAAAATTTCCAATCAAAATAAAACGTTCTATTAGATCATTTAATCTCATTTTATATATATATATATATATATGTATGTATACTTTGGTTCCAATTGGGCCAAACATTCTCATAGAGAAGGGTATGGATCCTCAAAATTACAAAAATTTGTCTCCAAAAAAATCGATTTTTTGTCAAATTTTGAAAAACCACGAAAAATATTATTAAATCCGCGAACTTTTTGTTATTGTTTTATATTGAACAAGGAGCAGATGCTCACAAATAGAGTCATAATTAAAAATTGAATTACAAGATGGACGCAAAGCGCCCTGAAAGCCTAGTAATATAGTATTAATTTTTTTTATGAAACAGCCACGCTACATATTTATGTGCATTGAACAGAGGAATTAAAAAAATGAGAAGAACCATCATATTTAATATGTACAGATGGTCAAATATTAAAAAAGATTGATCAATATAAGAAGTAAGTCCTGAATCTTCAAATGTTTTGGAATAAATGCGTCATCAGAAGTGTCCGGCGTTGACCGGGGGTATCTCGAAAATTTTCAAAGACGACAGAAAAGAAAAATCTACTTTATGCAATATTAAAGTATGCTGTATGCTATAAAATTATAGAAAATAAGCTACGAAGGTAAACTGTTAAAGAATGCAGAATGTTTAAGACAATGCCATGAATTTAAACTGTAATTGAAGGAATACACAGAAGTTTAATGTCGGACACGACATTTGTGAGAATTATTTTGTCGGTATTGTTCAGCTGTAGTAGGGTGCAGCAATTATTTTATATTAAAGGTCCCTCGAATTTATCCTTTGCATAGATAAATAAAATAATATTACTCTAGTTACAACGTTAAAAATAAGATTATTTTTTAAATTCACGTTTTTCTGGAATGTTTTATTGAAAGCATAATCATGAAGTTTTTGTGTTTTTAAAGTTGTAAAAGTGAATGTACTCTGTAGAAATAGTAGCTTTTATTTTCAATAAAAAAATTGATAAGGCAACCATTTACAGCGAAGTTTATCTCCCCAACTCTTAAAAAAAGTATATGTTTTACTCACCCTAGTGGTTGCATGGCGTCGTAAGTTGACACATTTTTGTCATTTTTAATAATAGCGCATTTTTTGGTTGCAAAGTTTAAGATTATGCCATCTATTTACATTAATTCAAGAAGCCAAGTATTACCGAATAATAAAAAAAATCAAGTTTTTTTTTACGCATTTGTCAAGTTTTAAGTATTTTTCCGTGACACTGAATCAAATGTTCTTTAAAATGGGAAAATTCCGCACTACGACTCAATTTCAGCGTTTTTTTATAAAATGTTTATGTAAAAATGTTATTAGGGTTCAATGTTCAAGTATAAACGGTTAAACTGCAGTCTAAGATCCTGGGGTTTACTCCTTGTAGTTTTCCATTCAGACCATATGGCAAATATATCTTTACAAATCAAAGGAGAGAAAAGAGTTACATTTTTTTAATTGGAAAGAAAAAGGACTGTGATAGAATTTTAGCGGTCCTTTTATTTAACAGGACCAGCAACAATTCATGACATTAGTTCGTTATTTTATCTATAATGGGAAAATTAATATAATTTCTATCCTCTTTATCCTTCCTATCCTTCCTTTCCTTCCTATCCTTCCTATCCTTTCTATACTTCCTATCCTTCCTGTTCTTCCTATGCCACCTTTCCTTTTCTATCCTTCCTATCCTTCCTATCCTTTTTATTCTTCCTATCCTTTCTATCCTTCCTATCCTTTCTATCCTTCCTATCCTTCCTATCCTTTCTATCCTTCCTATCCTAAATTTCCTTTTCTATCCTTTCTATCCTTTCTATCCTTCCTATCCTTCCTATCCTTCCTATCCTTCCTATCCTTCCTATCCTTTCTATCCTTCCTATCCTATTCTTCCTATTCTTTCTATTCTTCCTATTCTTCCTATTCTTCCTATCCTTCCTATCCTTCCAATTCTTCCTATCCTTCCTATTCTTCATATCCTTCCTATCCTTCCTATCCTTTCTGGCCTTTCTTCCTATTCTTCCTGTCCATCCTATTCTTCTATTCTTCCTATCCTTCTATCCTTTCTGTCCTATCCATCTATACATCTTGTGATCAGTTTTGCTAAGAAGTACCATCTGACGTTGCCAACATTTTTGTCTTGTATCAGAGACGGAACCTTAATTAGGCTGTCATACTCGAGTCAAACCCACCATGTTTTAGAATTTACAGGGTGTTTAAATAAAAACAAAAATATTTTTCTTTCTATTTCGTCTCAAAGCAAAGTATTAACTGTCTTTATTACTGGGACTCCCGGCCAGGATATTTGAAATATCTACCCCCCCCCCCTGACCCTATCCGGATCGAAGTTCTCTTTTGTGAGGATAAAATACCCGTTTTTAAAACACTTAGTAATTCCGATTAATTCAAATATCCACACGTAGCTGGAAAAATACTATTTGCAAGAAATGCAGCCGATAGCGGTAGGTCCTTATAAATGCATTCATTTACGAATATATCCCAGGCCGGGGAAAAACTGGTTTCCTTGAGAAGGTTTTGCTGGAGGGTTAAAGAATATATATCTTGGACTGAATATACAATATACATCCCTGAGGAACACCCTAGTTCTCCAACTACTCTTGCTACTCCTGGATCCATGGGAACAATCTTCGGCAGATCGCTCCGGGGCTCTCCTAGATTAATATCTAAACACGCCAGACCCTAAAATATATTATATATTTATATATATATATATTCTATAATAATAACTGCATTCTCCACGTTATGAGATTGTTTAATTGTTTTATTAATATTAGAAGTAAATAATAGAAGACTCTGCACCATTTTTACCGTTCTCATTGAAAGCATACATAAATGCGTTCTCATGCATTTATGGTTTATAATTTGTTTAAAATTTTTAGATTGAAATTTTAAAGATGCAAGCCCTTACACAAGTCTACGGTTTAAAGATTTATCAAAAAAAATTTAGATTTTTTTCCCCTTTAAATGAAACCTGGCAAGGATGATATTACATCCATACGAGGCTTCAATGCATGTATAACAGAGATTATATAGTTCTAACAATTAAGTAGGTCTTTGTTTTTAGGTTCCGATAACTTCTACACATTATACCTTTTAACTTATTTACCTCACAAGGTTGACCAATGCCGGCAGACTGATTTAACCATGTAAAACGAGGAATTACTTATTCTTATCCTATCTGCGTAATCTTTAATTGATATATAACAGGGTAAGGAGCTCAACTTATGAGACGTAGGGCTATATACGTCTCAGATACTTTCAGGCTACAGTTGGGCTTCTATACTTCTACTTGTTTCCCTTCTTTTATGGTTATCTACTAGTGCTTTCCTAATTCTAAAGTTATTTTTACAGTTCCTTAGTTCTTAGATTCTCCCGGAGTTCCCTAATGCTTACGTCCTAGGTTCCCTGCTCTTTTATTCTCCAGAGATACATAGAGGGTTCTCATCCCCTTTAGTTCTCCTTGGATATATGTAGGTTTTCCTTATCCTTGTTTCTCCAGAGAAACATGTAGGGTTCCCTTTTCCTTTGATCTCCAAGGATACATGTGCGGTTCTCTTCTCCTTGGTTCTCAGAATACATGTAGGGTTCCCTTCTCCTTGGTTCTCGGAATACATGTAGGATTCCCTTTTCCTTTGATCTCCAAGGATACATGTGCGGTTCTCTTCTCCTTGGTTCTCAGAATACATGTAAGGTTCCCTTCTCCTTGGCTCTCGGAATACATGTAGGGTTCCCTTCTCCTTGGTTCTCAGAATACATGTAGGGTTCCCTTCTCCTTGGTTATACATGTAGGGTTCCCTTCTCCTTGGTTCTCGGAATACATGTAGGGTTCCCTTCTCCTTGGTTCTCGGAATACATGTAGGGTTCCCTTCTCCTTGGTTCTCAGAATACATGTAGGGTTCCCTTCTCCTTGGTTTTCAGAATACATGTAGGGTTCCCTTCTCCTTGGTTCTCGGAATACATGTAGGGTTCCCTTCTCCTTGGTTCTTCAGGGATACATGCAGGGTTCCCTTCTCCTTGGCTCTTCAGGAACACATTTATGGTTTCTTTCTCCTTGGTTCTCCAGGGATGCATGTAGGGGTCCCTTCTCCTTGTTTCTCCAGGGATACATGCAGGGTTCCCTTCTCTTTGGTTTCCAGGAATGCATGAAGGGTTCCCTTCTCCTTGTTTCTCCAGGGAAACATGCAGGGTTCCCTTCTTCTTGGTTTCCAGGGATACATGTATGGTTCCCTTCTTCTTGGTTCTCCAGGGATACATGAAGGGTTCCCTTCTTCTTGGTTCTCCAGGGATACATGTAGGGTTCCTTTCTTCTTGGTTCTCCAGGTATACATGTAGGGCTCCCTTCTCCTTGTTTCTCCAGGGATACATGCAGTGTTCTCTTCTCCTTGGTTCTCCAGGGATACAAGTAGGGTTCCTTTCTCCTTGGTTCTTCAAGAATATATGTAGGATTTCCTTTTCTTAAAGTTCTTTAGGGTTCTTTTTCTGTGGTTCTAGGTTCAAATATCATTTGGTTCTCACGGGGTACATGTAGGACTTCCTTTGCTTTGGGTCTCCAAGGATAAATGTAGGTTCTCTTATCCTTTGGTTCTCTATAGAGATGATTGCAGGGATCTTTTATCATGGGATTCTCCAAGAGTACAGGTAGGGTTCCAATTTCCTTAGTTTCTCAGAGGTTCTCTAAAAAAAAGATTCTTCACGACTCTATGCAGGGTCACTATCTTAAGGTTCTCCAAGGATACGTGTTGGGTTCCTTTCTTCTTTAAAGTTTAAAGATCGAAGGTTGGGATAGAAAACGGTTGAGAGGCAAGGTAAGCGTCTTAGATTTATCTTTAGGGTTCATTGAGTGGAGTGGACGTAATTTATCAGAAGACAATGGGTTGCTAATGATGTAATTTGATGCAGTTTCTGGACTTCACTCTCATTATAAGATCATTTCAAAGCAGAGCAAGCGCACAAGATTTCACAATGCACAGTTTTCCCCCAACCAAGGGATAATCACGTTTTCCGGCTGGTTCTTTAGCTTTACAAGTATAATGTACAATATATGCAAAGTGTATCCGTGTGTCAAATAAAACCTAACAATGCATTTCTGAAAGTAATTTCGGGCATTACACATTCTGACTTTTTGACTGACCTTTTTAAGAATTCGTAAAATAAGTTTTGATTTAATAATTCGTCTGGAAATTCAATAATAAAAGATTTCGGGAGAAAGTTATTTGTTTATTTTTAAATAATGAAATATTTCTTTTGAAAGTATAAATATAGCTAGAAAAGCACATTTCAAAGAATATGCTTTGAAAAATATATAAAGATATCATGATACCCAAGATCATTGTGCTGGATGGATTGCAAATCTCCCACTGTATCCGAGTATCTCTGAACGGTTGGGTTGATCCCCTGAATTATCCTGGAACCTTGCTCCTGTAATTATAGAAAAATGTGTAGAGAAGGAACCTGATGACTGATATTAAATGTACCTGAAGCAGGATGATTGGATTAAAGGGACTTTTGTTCTAATTTTCACAGAGGCATTCACGATTCACAATGGTACAACAAGGGTTTCTAGTCCCTTTAATATATTCTAACTGAGGTTGAAGGAAGGGTTTCCAGTCTCTTTAATATATTCTAACTGAGGTTGAAGGAAGGGTTTCCAGTCCCTTTAATTTATTCTAACTGAGGTTGAAGGAAGGGTTTCTAGTTCCTTTAATTTATTCTAACTGAGGTTGAAGGAAGGGTTTCCAGTCCCTTTAATTTATTCTAACTGAGGTTGAAGGAAGGGTTTCCAGTCCCTTTAATATATTCTAACTGAGGTTGAAGGAAGGGTTTCCAGTCCCTTTAATATATTCTAACTGAGGTTGAAGGAAGGGTTTCCAGTCCCTTTAATTTATTCTAACTGAGGTTGAAGGAAGGGTTTCCAGTCCCTTTAATATATTCTAACTGAGGTTGAAGGAAAGGTTTCCTTCCCATTCTATATTATTACATTGTAAGTTTCTTGGCTTGCTCAGGAGTATTCTTTTTATGCAGACCTAGTGAAACCACTGTTAGATCTTTTAAAACATGTTTCTTTTTTAATTTAATTTAAATTCATTGAAAAAGGATTAAGATATAAGAGCGGCGGGTTAATATAACGTTTGCTATTCTGTGAATCATTCTTCTGTTTGGTGTCTAAAAACTTAGCGAATTTAGAGACGATTAAACATTGATTCGATATTAATGAATGGTAAAGTGTCAAAGTATCAAAATATCAAAATATTTTCTGTTCTGATATTCAAACAAGTTATGATGCATCAACATCTAAGTAAATTCTAACGAAAAAAAACGACAATACGCATATTGAAAATTCCGTGACAAAATCGTTGAAAACATGGTGTTATAAAAGTCGTAATTAGATTGATATTTTGTCAGAATTTTACCTGTTACTCCTTTTAAACTAAGATTAGAAACAAGATGTAAATATATAAGAGAACAAAGTTTAAAGCTACTAATATGAAATTTAAGAACCGGTTCCGAATTTAAAGAATTTGAGCCGCGGTTTAAAGTTTGAAATATCAAAGGTTTACACCATCAGGTGGGAAAAATATATGTATGTGAGCCGAACAAAAGGAATAACACTCGAAATAGGGAAATAAGGCGAATTCGTGATGGAAACACTCTTTCCAACCATACACAGATAGATGAGAACTTCTTGAAAATGTATATTTCAGTAACGAGGTTTCCTACAAAATACAAATTGTTATTGGCGTACATGCATATAAATAATAATTGTGAATAAAGATTAAACAGTTGAAGGTTTTTATCAATAAATGAGTATTGGAATTCTAGGTTTTGTAGGTTTAGCAGGATTGGAGATTTTAGGTTTAGTAGGTTTAGCAGGATTTGGGGATCATATTTTATTGCTGTTGTGAATCGATAAATAAAGTGTTTAAAGGCACTGTTGTGAACTGATAAATAAAAGGTTTAAAAGGTACTGTTGTGAATTAGGTATATGGAACTTACAATCTAGAAAACTGTGTTAGGCCGAAAAGTTGTTTGAACTGAAGTCTAAAGCAATTTAATTCTTCTGAAAATAAATATTCGTCTGGTTAAATAAGTTCACTGTTTGATTGCAAATGATTCACTGAAAATTATGTTTAAATGGGTTCTTTTAATGCACTTAAAGTTTTATTAGCTCCATGAGGTTATTGTTTATGTTTATGCAAAATCCTTGGCAATGTTTGGTTTGGTGGGTGGACGGAGGGTTCAACGGAGATACAGTTTGTCGGAGACGACCTTACAACAGGGGAAATTTGAGTGATATGGTTCACAATGTATTAGAAAATCAGAATTTGTTACAATAACTCAATTCCTTTGTATTAAATTTTTCAAGATTTAAGCCGGCGGTCAATTAAAACCGGTTTTTTGGGGGATTTGAGACGTGGCTTAAATTCATTAAATTCGGACACTGGTCTAGCAAATTATTCCATTATTTCTTTAGTTCTCTGGATCTCTCCTATAGAAGGGGTAGGCCAAGGGGCTTGAGACACTTCAAAGTTGACCCGGTCTAAAAAATTAATGCATTTATTTTACAGTTCTCCGGATGAATGTGTAGAGAGGTGAACTGTGGAGATGTAAATAATATTCCTCTCTATAGTATTGAATAGTATTGAAAGAAAAATCTGAAACCTGTATTTTTAAAACCATTAAATCATCCCAGCCAAGTCACCTTTTCACCAGTTTTATCAAAGTTAAGTCGACGGTTCCCTTTATATCTTCGACTTAACTTTTACATGAAGTACGCATTATTTTTTAATTATATAACCCCAACTTTATGATATTGCTTACTATTTTTTATAATTGTACTTTTGATATCATATCACTTGCAACAATGATACGTGATTTTATCAAATATCATCAAGATAAGATTTTTAATTATTTAGCTGAAACAATTTCTTACATTGTACAAGAATTAACTATGAAGTGACATGTACAATTTACACCCTTTAAACTATGACTATAAAGTGGCATGTTCAGTTTACACCCTTTAAAATTTAACTATAAAGTGTCATGTACAGTTTACACCCTTTAAACTTTAACTATTATGTGATATGTACAGTTGATACCCTTTAAACTTTAAATATAAAGTGACATGCACAGTTTACACCCTTAAAACTTTAATTTTAAAGTGATATGTACAGTTGACACCCTTTAAACTTTAACTAAAAAGTAACATGTACAGTTTTACTATAAAGTGGCATGTTCAGTTTACACCCTTTAAACTTTAACTATAAAGTGACATTGTACAGTTTACACCCTTTAAACTTTAACTATTTTGTGATATGTATAGTGATACCCTTTAAACTTTAACTATAAAGTGACATGTACAGTTTACACCCTTTAAACTTTAACTATAAAGTGACATGTACAGTTTACACCCTTCAAACTTTAACTATAAAGTGACATTGTACAGTTTACACCCTTTAAACTTTAACTTTAAAGTGATATGTACAGTTTACACCCTTTAAACTTTAACTTTAAATTGATATGTACAGTTGATACCCTTTAAACTTTATTTTTAAAGTGACATTGTGCAGTTTACACCCTTTAAACTCTAACTATAAAGTGACATGTACAGTTTAAACCCTTAAAACTTTTCAAAACCAAAGAATGTATAACTTATCCTAATATTTTTAGTCTCAGATCGGGTGTACGACTTTTCACTAGTTCCATAAGTTTATTTTAAACCCCTGCACTGCAACATGGAAACGAATAAGTTTTCTATTTTACGTTTGAATTACGGGGTTGCATTATCTTTGCATTATTTTTTTTATCTTTGAACGTATGGTGAATTTTAATTATTAACTTTTTATATATGTATCTTATGCAATCTGCATACTAACTCAAAGTAAAAAAACGATATCACAATAGAAAATTGCATAATATATTTAGGCTAAAAGAAAAGAATCCATTGTTCCGGCAACTTCGAGTTGCATTATAAGTTCAGTGGAGTTTTTCATTAATAATATTATAATATTGTTGAAAACATTGTCAGTATTTTCAAATATTTTCTTCTAATGCCAGTAAATTATCTAAAAGTTTTGATCTAAGATGAAATAAAATACTAAACCCTGTTGTTTTTATATTTCTCTTGAACTGCAGATACAAATCTGTAGGACTCGTTCTTCAACTCTCTCTCTCCCCCCCCCCCCCGATCTGTCTTAATGCAGTTTTAGTAAATATCTTTTATCCTGCGGCAATGATGCTCATAAAGTAGAAGATTAAGATAACATAGACCTTTAATGTCGTTATCAGTAGAAAAACAATGTTAGATAAGTCATCTCAAAGTATTTTTCCCGTGGGCAAAAGCTTCAGATGCAATATTACACTTTTTCCTAATGTTCTAACCGCAGTGGTTGTCCCTTAAGCCGGCTTTTGAAATATTTATTTAGAATGGGAGAGGGTTTGGGTGTATAATAAGCTTGGGGAATGCCAGTTTAAAAATCTCTCAGTCTCAGAACTGTTTTAAAAAATAAAAAATTTATTTTAGTTTTTATCTAATGAATTTACAAATCCCATATTTATTTAATGATTTTATTAATGATTTTCCCATATTTATCTAAAAATATCCTTATTACTACTATATATCCTTATTACTGCTATATATCCTTATTACTACTATATATCCCATAATTTGTCTAAACATAAAGAGAGTATGATTTTCTTAGTGATAATATCAATTATATCATTTTTATTTTGCATTTACTAAAAAATGCTTTTCTGATCCCACCTCCCACCTCCCCCTCCCCAATATTATCCCATGATTGCAGATGTATCCCATCCCATAATTCCCACCGATATTTATTTTAGAAATTTCTAAGAAAATCAAATCATTGTTTACAGATGAAGTTCTGAACAATATTTACATTCCTGTCAGTATTTTAGAAAGTTTTAAGTTTTATGAACTAAACTTTATTTGCTAATCTTCTTTTGTTCTCCTTAACTAAGCCTAAACCTGTTCGTAATCCTGTTAATCATGGTTTTTGTTTTACTTGGTACTAAATTCATGAATCATGAATAGCGGACTGGATGGTCCAGCTCCTGTCCAGTTATCTACAAATTGAATAAGATAAGAGAAAGAAAGGGTTGCCAGGTTGTGTTAAGGAGGTGTGAGAGAGAGGGGGGGGGGGGGGTAACATAGGACCCTTTAACTAGAGTATGTAAATTATATCTTGCTGTCTAGTTGGGATGGATTGTATTGTGTACCTGTTCTAAGATATGATCAGATCAAGGTATTAATGAATGAAGGACTAGAAAGGAATGAAGGAATGAAAAGGATGAATTGAAAAAGAATTAATATTTCAACTGATTACTATTGAACCGTGCAGTGCAAACTTTCTGGAATCCGGCTCAAGTTAGCAATCCAGTTTTATATACGAGAGGGATCTATGTATAAATTGCATATATCAAACAAGAGAAACAGGACCCTTTGGAGAGATCTGTGGTTTAGAGGAGAACAAGGGATACAGGTGAAACAGGGTATATACAGGAGAACCAGAGATATACAGGAGAACCAGGGATATACAGGAGAACCAGGGATACAGGAGAACCAGGGATACAGGAGAACCAGGGATATACAGGAGAACCAGGGATATACATGAGAACCAGGGATAAACAGGAGAACCAAAGATACAGGAGAACCAGGGATACAAGATAACCAGGGATACAGGTAAACCATGGAATATGCAGAAGAATCAGAGATATACAGGAGAACCAGAGATACAGGAGAACCAGTAATACAGGAGAACCAGGGATATACAGGAGAACCAGTAATACAGGAGAACCAGGGATATACAGGAGAACCAGGGATACAGATGAACCATGGTATATACAGGAGAACCAGAGATATACAGGAGAACCAGAGATAGAGAAAAACCACTAATACAGGAGAACCGGGGATATACAGGAGAACCAGAAATACAGGAGAACCAGGGTTACAAGTGAACCAGGGTATATACAGGAGAACCAGGAATAAACAGGAGAACCAGGGATACAGAAGAACCAGGGATATACAGGAGAACAAGAGATTGGGAAAAATATTTTTTTATCCATTTTGTCCAATTAAAGTTTTACCCAAGTTAAGCAGTTTTGACACATGTACTCTAGTTTTTGCCCAAAAATCTACCTGAATATTAAGTTATGGGTTCTAGCTTCTGCAATATGTCCTTGATAGAACGTTTTTACTCTCTCAGTGACCTTTCTATCACTGTTTCTTTCATCAATACGCAGAGAATCTTTTTCCGGAAATCAACTCTTATCCGGGCCAACTTTTTAAGGCTGCTATCTCTTCAAAGAGGTTTCCCACGAACACTCTTTTTTACGAAATTTTACTACAAAGTATACAGAATATAGGTATTTTTTTATGCATGAAGTTAGACATTAAAAAATGAAATGAATGGTTAAACCAAAGATTAACGGTACAGTATATAAGTTCTATCAAGGTCTGTACAGTGAACAGTTATCTACATTTCCTGTACTCTAAACAGAGATGTCGGGACGGGTTGGTTTTTTATCCCTTAGATGAATTGCTGTTCTCTAGAGTAATCAAACCTTCAATAGTACTAAGTACAACGGGGGCTGGGATGCATCTTGCATCAGGACATTCATGGTGGAACACAAGGAGGAGGTTTAAGCTTCCGGATGAAAAAGGTTTAAGAAGGAGAGGGAAAGGTTTGGGAAGGAGAGAGAAAGGTTCAGGAAGGAGAAAAAAGGTTTAGGAAGAAGAGGGACAAGGTTTAGAAAGAAGAAGGAAAAGGTTTAGGAAGGAGATGTGAAAGGTTTAGGAAGGAGATATAGGTTTCGAAAGGAGAGGGAAAAGGTTTGGGGAGAAGAGGGAAAAGGATAAGAAAAGAGAGGGATAAGGTTTGGGAAGGAGGGATAGGTTCCGGAAGGAGAGGGAAAAGGTTTTGGAAGGAGTAGGGAAAGGTTTAGGATGGAGAGGGAAATGGCTTAGAATGGAATAAGGAAAGGTTTAGGAAGGAGAAGTGACAGGTTTAGGAAGGAGAGGAAAAAGGTTTAGGAAGGTGAGAAAAATGTTTAGGATGGAGAGAGAAAAGGTTTAGGATGGAGAGGGTTAGGTAGGAGAAAGATAAAGGTTTAAGTAGGAGAGGGAAAAGGTTTAGAATATGAAAGAAGGAAGGGAAAAGAGTTTGAGATAAGAAGAGAGAAAAAGAAAAATAAAGAAATGAAGAATTGCATAAAAGGAATGTGGGATGAAAATGAGGACGGGATTATTAAGGAATTGTTTCGTAAGGACAAGAGAAAGGGTTTAAAAAAGAATAATATAATTAGAAGAAACAGGAAGTTTTCCTTGAACCCTCTTAACCAAACTTTTGAAGCAACTCTAGGCAAATCAAAGTTTTTACATATTTCAGAATAGAATTTGATAGAGTTAAATAAAAAATCTTTTATTCGATAGTTTTCAAACTCAATTATATAAGAGTCAATCTAATTCTTGTTTTCTCTTAAATAAATCCACAGGTATAAATACGGACGGAGGAAAGCAGGAACCTACAACTTCTAAGCGGGAGAGGGAAAGGAATAGTATTTTCTCCGGGTACTGTAAACACCACAGACCATCGTAGAAAGCAAATACATTCCTGGAGAATAGGAACTGTATAAAACTACTAAACAATGTTTAACTAGTGTGTAATATGAACAAATGTAGATATTAGTTCACACAAGTATTATCTGATAAACATGATTGGAGGAGACTTTACTTCTGTTTTTCTGGTTAATATTACAGGTGAAATATATATTTTCTGGTTAATATTACAGGTGAAATATATATTTTCAGGTTAATATTACAGGTGAAATATATAATTTCAGGTTAATTTTAAAGGTGAAAGATATTTTTAAAATTCTAAATAAGTTTTTTGGGTTGACTTTTATAGCGAAAGATAATCAAGAAAATCTGGGTTTCCATCGATCCATGTAAGAAAATCGAAATTGAAAATCTTTGCAACCCAAAAATGTAGACCTGAGATATCTAAAACTATGAATTTTGTTAGATCAAATAAGCAAAGTATGGAATATCAAAGGTTTACTCCATTAGGTTACAAAGATATAAAGATTAGAAAAATTTAGTTTACGACAGCAGTGAAATTGAAAAATAATCTGTGCTTTACTTATCAGATATATAAATATATATATGTGTATGTAGTAAATGCCCAACTCCATAGGGGTTTCTCGAATCCATATCTATCCAGGTACAATTCAGTTTCACTTTGCTATTAATGGCTAAAAACGGACACAATCTCGTCAGGTATCGATGTCTGCACCGACACTAGCTTAGCTATCGATGTCAACCAGGACACGAGCTCTTAATCGATCAATGCCAGACCACTTAGCATGATCAGCTATCAATGTCTCTAGGGACACAAGCAAATAATCGATCAATCCCAAACCAATGGGCACGATCAGCTATCAATGTCTCTAAGGACACAAGCACTCAATCAATCAGTGCCAAACCAATGGGCACGATCAGCTATCAATGTCTCCACGGACACAAGCACTTAATCGACCGATGCCAAACAAATGGGCACAACCAGCAATCAATGTCTCCGGGGACACAATCAATGCCAAACCAATGGACAAGATCAGCTATCAATGTCAACACAGACACAAGCACGCAACTATCAATGCCAAGCCAATGGGCACGATTTTTAACTCATTTGTTTAGAACAAAGATACAATTACTCTCTCGCATTAAGCAAAGCGGAGTCTCTATATCAAAGATTAGGTATTAACAGACGTAATTACAAGTTATGTGTCAATATGTATATAACGTAGTTAAGCTAATCACAATATGGATTTGACGGAGTTATATATATGTATATAGGTTGGTTAATCGCAACACATGATTTGTGTATTTACTAATGAGTGCATTTAGATCTGTGGACAATGTACAACGTAATTTATCTTGATTACTATGGACCTCTGTATTTATTACATGCATATGTTCTCCAGGAAGTATAGATGAGGGTGATTTCCCTGGATTAAATGACTCCTTATATTGTCGTGTCTGCTGGGTGTATGGTCAGGACTGGAGTGTAACAGCAGGACAAGAAGAGGGACTATCTCAGGTCTAACATTTAATGCAAAGAAACTAAAAACTCGCCACGAAAAATCATTTTTATATCTTTGCAACCTCATGTAGCAGACCTATGAAACTTCAAACTATGAATTTTATAAAATTGAATAGTCAGAATTTTAAATATAAAAGGTTTACACCACAAAATTGCAAGATATAGAGATTTAAAAAGTTTGAGCCGAGTGTTCAGATTTATGATGTTAGATCTAGGTTCAATAAACAAGAAGACTAGAGAACCCCTGTCATTTTATCAAAGTATATATCCTGATAAAATATGTTTACAGATATTCAACGCTTAAAGAGGATATATAGGCGTAAATTCAAGTGATGTGTAGAGTAGGAAGTCTAATTCATTACTATACCCTTAAAACCTTTAACTAATCAAGAATGATATTTACAGCAACCCTTGTAATTGTAGATAACTTGGTTCTTAAACTGTTATAAATGATAGATAAATTAATATTTACTTTCCTTATTTCACTTTGTATTACACAGCTGGAGTACTAATGCCGCCAAATAACAAAGGATTAAAGGGCATTGTTGTGAATCATATACACCTCTCTACGAATGTAGTGCCCTAAACTACGCATATAGTCTCTTTAACAAATGCGTGATATTTATAAATTTATGTTCTTTAGGTCTAGGTTCAAGAAACAAGAAGTCATTTTATTAAAGTTCATGTTTAGATAAAACATGTTCACAGAATTGATATTGAAAACTTAATTGAGCTGTAGAGACGTTGTTTCAAATACTCTTTATACATTGTAATTGTAATTGTGATAACTTTGTAGGCAAGCCGCATCTATAAATATTTTTCGGGAGTCAGAGAAAATGAATATTTTCAAACGTGTTTTTAAAATCGCGTTTGACATTCAATATTCTGGATTTTCAGAAATATTTGAGTCATTTGGGTAAAGTGCAGAAAATCACGAAGTTTACAAGGGTACCGTAGTAAGTTGGACATGCCACTCTATACATAAAGAGTCACCTAAACTTACGTTCACAACTTGGATTTACGCTAAAAATTCTTTATTTTTGAGAACTCTCTGTTTGTACATTCTTATCAGTTTGTAATATGTGAACACATCAATCTGAACCTGGAGGGGGTGCTTTATTGTTTTTATCAATAATTAATCAAAGAAATAATCCTCAAATTACGATATTTGATTAATCAGATTGCTGGACAGAGCCATGATAGATTAGCGAGGATGGTTTGGAACTTCCCTCTAGATATAACCTTCAAATCTACAAGTCCTCATGGATGGCCCCAGGTCTAAATATACAACCTTGAAACTAAGTAAATATACTTTTATTGTTGATAAAATAATTGAATTTAGGTGGTTTTAGCAGTTTATGGCCCGGACACTCTAGGAAATGATGTAGTAAGAGGATATGGGGCGGTTCATGCTCCTCTAGCTCCGGGTAGACATAGGTACATCAAACAGGATAGAAAGATTAGTACAGGAGATGGATAAAAGAATAGAAAGATTAGTACAGGAGAAGGATAAAAGGATAGAAAGATTAGTACAGGAGAGAAAGATTAGTACAGGAGATGGATAAAGGATAGAAAGATTAGTACAGGAGAAGGATAAAAGGATAGAAAGATTAGAACAGGAGAAGGATGAAAGGATAGAAAGATTAGTACAGGAGAAGGATAAAAGGATAGAAAGTTTAGTACAGGAGAAGGATAAAAGGATAGGCACCGAAGAAAGATAGAAGGATAGGTACAGGAGAAGGATAGAAGGATAGGTAGTACGATAAGAAGAGAAGGATAGGTATAGGAGAAGGATAGAAACAGGAGAAGAATAGTGCAGGAGAGGTATAGAGTACTAAAAAAGAATGTGCATAGGAGAAGGATAGTCTGGAAAGGATAGGTTACTTATAGAGAAGGATGGGTACAAGAGTAGGATGGTGCATGAGAGGATAGGGTATTAGGTAAGGATGGTTACAGAAGAAGGATAGTGCATGAGTGGATAGGGCACTAGAGAAGGATGGGTATAGGAGAAGGATAGTGAATGAGTGGATAGGGCACTAGAGAAGGATGGGTACAGGAGAAGGATAGTGAATGAGAGGATAGGGTATTAGAGAAGGATGGGTACAGGAGAAGGATGATGCAGAAGAGGATAGGGTACTAGAGAAGGATGGTTACAGGAGAAGGATAGTGCATGAGAGGATAGGATACTAGAGATGGATGGGTACAGGAGACGGATGGTGCATGAGAGGATAGGGTATTAGAGAAGGATGGGTACAGGAGAAGGATGGTGCAGAAGAGGATCGGGTACTAGAGAAAGAAAGGAACAGGAGAAGAATAGTGAAGAAGAAGGATTGTTATTGCTAGGCTGACTTCCGAAAAAGGAAGCGGTCTAAAACCTTCGTTTTATAACATAAAACAACAAAAATTGTTGTGTATGCATATTGTATATTGTATAAACCTGACACCTGTTTTGTTAAGGGTTTTAGCCTTCAAGGATTACTGCCCGGGTTTTTGTCGCTAAATAGTTATGAATGTTTTTACTCCCTGATCAGCCCTGATATAATCAAAAAACCAGAAAGAAAACATTCAAACTATGTTTCTTCATTTAACTAACATATTTTTCATTACAATAGAAATCTTTAAACACCCACATTCAAATATATACAGGGTGTCCCGAAAAAACTTTTATAAAATGTAAAACTTTTATTTTAAGTTTCGAAGAAAACTTATTATCCAACAGCTAAGAAAGTGACCTAATTATTGTTATGGTTGACCGTCTCTATTTAAACTCTGGAATAAGTGTAATTAAAAACATGAAAAGAAAACATTCTGTGATATTCTACTCTGCTATTTTCTATTATATTCTACTTTGCTTCAAGGTGCTTCGCGCCCCCTTTCTAATGAGCAATTTTAGGTTATAAGTGTTGCTCTGAAAGCGGTAATTTTTAATAATTCTCCAATTTAAATTGGCACATTTCAAAAATAGTAACTGTTGACATTTTATCGGGCGCTAATAATTTCAATGTTAACTATCCATAAACTTTTGCTTGGGGTATGTTAGTTGCCAAAAATAAAATGGAGCCTGATCTGTTTTAGGCCGTTCTGACGTTTATCATGGGTACTAACACCTAATCACACGTACAGACAGACAAGCAAAGTACATACATAGAGATTCGTTTTTTTCTTCTTCCATTCAATTCTATTTTCTTCTATTATATTCTATTCAATTCTAATATATTTCTCCTTTTATATTTTACACTAGCTGAAAGGCCCGGCGTTGCCCGTGGGGAAAAAATTGAAAAAGAAAATTGGAAAGAAAAAAAAATGGTGAAAAAAATTTCGATTTTTTTAGCCTATAACACCCCCTTGCTACCCATAAGTGTCCACACCAAATTTTAGCCAAATCGGTCCAGCCGTTTGGCCGGCTATACGCAACATATATACGAATGTTTTTTTTATAATTTTTATATTTTACATATTATATTCTATTAAAGAGCTCGAGTTCCGATGTTTGTACCTGAGTCGACCAGCCGGCTACAGAAGTTGGCCGGCTGGTTTCTAGGACGGAGACCAGAGTTTGTAGATCCCAGGTTTGTGTATTCCTAATCATTTAATACAATACATTCATCTTGTGGTTAGACTAGGGAAATTTTTACCCTTGGATAGTAATTGAAACAAAGATTAAAGACGGGAAAATATATTTCAAGAAATGGTTAAAAATATCACATTCAAGGTTAGAGAACGATTATCTAGGCTTGCTCCGGACTAGTATGGGAACGTGGTTCACCACTCTTTGAATTTCTTCTCAGCTTGAATACAACTAGGATTATTAGAACGGAGAGAAGGAGCATGATAGGAACACTGATCCCTGCAATCAAGATGATATTACTTTTCTCAGGAAGGTTTGGTTCTCTCTGCTGAATTATTTCAACTAGTTCCTCCCCAAACTCTTCATCTATTAAATCCTGAACCAGGTTCTCATCGGGACTGTAATCCCATTCCGTTGAATCTTCATACTCATCTTCTTTTATTAGACCAGGACGGACTGTAATAATCTCCGTGTCTGATCCTTTCTCAATATCAAGTTCCAGTATTAGATCTTGGAGAATCTCAAATTCTTCATCATCTGATAAGGTTTCATCAACATTGAGAGCAGCCACTAGGTTTCCTTGTATAAGACAAACTAAGATTAACAACAAATAATTCATGTTTTATAATTTTTGAAATTATTCTCTGCTCCGGGATAAGTTTAGAACTGGTTGAATTCTTGATGAGGAACTAGATTGTAGGGTTTGACCGACACAACCTTTGCTCTTATCTCAACACCCGCTAATCTTACGGTCATCGCGGTCGTAGATTAGACAGGGGGTTAGGGGAGGGGGTTAGTCCGGTCATATAGGTTTCCAGATTGCAATGTAACATTATCATTAATCGATGCTAAAAAGTTTAAATGATCCTGAGAATTTTATCCAAAATCTCAACATTAGTCCGAAGTATGAAGTTTCCGGATCGTTAAGTAAAATCTAATGAGCTTTAAATTGAATTCCTTGTTTCAGGGTTGTAGCCAGTGGTCAGGGGAGGGATGTAACTAGAGTTCGGAGTCAGGGGCACATAACCATATCATTCAATATGATTTGTAAAGACCTGAGCAAGCTAGGGTATACAAGCAGTACCAAGGATTTAGGAGTACTTAGAGCTCCTTTTGCGGAGGGGAGGGGTGAGCTGACCATCCCAGGAGGAGGAGGAGGAGGAGAAGGAGGAGGAGGAGGAGGAGCAGCAGGACTAGAGGATATACAGGAGGAAAGGGAGGAGGTGGTAACTGCAGGACTGGAGAATCTCTCTATTTCCTGATCAAACATAAACCATTCATTTATCCGTCATGCATCCATGCATGGGAATTCTTCTATGCATGCACAGTTTTGCATTTCTTAAATTAAAAATAAAAGTATTTGAATGAAATACGAAATTGTATTGTTAAATAAAAATTAACATGTTATTCATACAAATATATTTCTTCGTTAATGTTGAATTGTGTTTCTAAAGGTCGTAAAAATATTTGATATTTAAAGATTTGAATAGAGGTAATTCCTGTAGATTTTATTTTAACTATTGTTTAATATCAGTTGTCCCCCTACCTTGAAGTTTAAAGAACCAGATGCTTCTTAATTTATCATTGAATTCTTGAAATAAATGTCAATACTAGCATTGGAGCATAAAGATTGTTCTTTCATCTCTTCCGGGACACCCTGACTTTTAATCTATTTATTTCTAGACAACCTGGCTTATGCACTATGTGTTTCTGGACACCTTGGCTTATTCAATATGTGTTTCTGGACACCCTGGCTTAAAGTCGGTGTGTTTTTGGACACCCTGTATTAAAATCAGTGTGTTTATGGACACCCTGTATTAAAGTAAGTTTGTTTCTGGACACCCTGTATTAAAGTCAGTGTGTTTATGGACACCCTGTATTAAATTCAGTGTGTTCCTGGACACCCTGCATTAAAGTCAGTGTGGTTATGGACACCGTGGATTAAAGTCAGTGTGCTTCTGGACACCCGGCCTGGATTAAAGTCAGTGTGCTTCTGGACACCCTGGATTAAAGTCAGTGTTTTTATGGACACCTTGGATTAATGTCAGTGTGCTTCTGGACACCCTTGATTAAAGTTAGTATGTTTCTGGACATCCTTGATTAAAGTCAGTGTGTTTCTGGACACCCTGAATTAAAAACTGTGTTTCCTGGACACCCAGGTATGCGTTTCCAGGGACAACCTGGTTTATAAAATGTGTGTTCTGGGACACAATGCCATTTAAATTGTGTTTTCTGGGACACATTGTCATACTAACTTTCCGGTTTGAGACTCTGTGTTTTGGGACACTCTCCAAAATATATTTCTTCTGTTTATTGTGTTTCTTCTGTTTATGTTCCCTAGGACATTCTGACATAAAAAACAGTATGCTCTGCATGGAACACCCTGCCGACTATAATACTTTTGCCATAATTTTCTTATTTTTACAAAGATATAAATTTTACTATTTTTTATAATTGCGCCAAAGGAATTGAGTCTTTGTCACAAACTCTGAATTTCTAATCTCTATATCTTTGCAATCCAATTTCGTAGACGTTAGATATTTCAAACTATGAATTCTGTTAGATGAAATAGCCTAAGTTTGAAATATCAAGGGTTTCCACCATAAGGTTGCCAAGATATAAGGATTAGAAAATCTGAGTTTGTGGCAAAACTCAATTCCTTTCTCATGAACATTCTTAACTTTAGTTACACAGTAACACAACAGAATTTTCAAATTTGTTGCGATAGGATAAGGAAATACAATCCCTTGATTATTCTCATGTGAGTAAGTGAGCACAGTATTTCAGTATTTAACGCTGGTCTTCCTTCTTGAGGACATAATTATTACCAACTAGTCTGAGTAGTTCTATGTGATTATAACATACCCATTACTCAAATGAATTAGTAAGTTTTAGTAGTTTTTAACTACTGTAAAATTGAAAAACACAAAAATAACAAAAAAAACCTTAATAAAACCCAATAAACCCAATAAAACCCAAAAAAAAAACAATAAAACCCAATAAAACCCAATAAACCCCAATAAAACCCAATAAACCCAATAAACCCACTGGGCGGGGTTTAAAGAAAAAACCCGGTTTTTTTCCAACCCTGATTGTAATTATGGTAAATGTAACCATTATGGCAAGTGTAATTTATGGCAAATGTTACTTATGGCAAAGATATTTTGGCAAGTGTAATTATGGCAAATAAAACTGAGCCACCCTGACATATGAACAGTAAGTTCTTGGACATGGAAATTCTTTCATTTGAACTTAATGAACAGGTCTGTGGCACCGATTAAAATTTCTTGGATACCCTGTCTAATATGTTAATTATGTGTATTGCATAATGCATGGTTCCTGGTACGGTCTGCATAGGACACCCTGTCATATGAACAGTAATTACTTGGATACCCTGTGTAATATGTTAATTATATATATTGTATGATGCATGGTTCCTGGTACGGTCTGCACAGGACACCCTGTCATATGAACAGTAATTACTTGGATACCCTGTGTAATATGTTAATTATATATATTGTATGATGCATGGTTCCTGGTACGGTCTGCAGAGGACACCCTGTCATATGAACAGTAATTACTTGGATACACTGTGTAATATGTTAATTATGAATATTGTATGATGCATGGTTCCTGGTACGGTCTGCACAGGACACCCTGTTATATGCACAGTAATTACTTGGATACCCTGTGTAATATGTTAATTATGTATATCGTATAATGCATGGTTCCTGGTACGGTCTGCACAGGACACCCTGTCATATGAACAGTAATAACTTGGACACCCTGTGCACACACATAATGTTATGGTTTGCTAAGTACTCTAACCTTCACGGCTGAATGAGGAAGCTGTAATTCAATTTCTAAAATATTGTAAATATCTGACTCTCAAGGTTTAATACTCCCTGTCACAGGGACTGCAGACGTATGTCATGTGACCCTGCGTTGATTAAGTTGCATGTTCGATTAACAACGGTACCTTTAAAGAATGAATGATTTATCCATTCTTTTTCTCTTTGAGAATTTAGTATTTTCAATTGTGGTTTCTCCATTACGGAGTTTCATTTTGCAAATTAAGTGGAGGAAGGTGAAGGTTATATTTTTGCAACATTGGTTACAACCTTGTGACCTCGTAGCTTCTCTAATTTTGATTTTAAGCACAGGCATAAAAGTAAAATTTATCCGATTAAAATTAGAAATTCAAAACATTTTTGTTTATCTCATTAGCTTCTCAATAATGCGTCGAAAAATAATCGATGACTTTATATTGTAATATTTGAATGATTTGTTTAAAATTAAATTGATCATTTTACGATAGGAGTTGTATATTGCAACTTTCTGAATTTGATTGGACGCTATGTTCTTCAGTATGAGTAGTTTTTAACAATTTTCTCCATATAGACGCAACAGACTATTTTTCGCCGTAAGCCTATACCCCCTTTAATTTTCGCGAACATTCCCTTTAAAATTTAGTTAAATTACATCAACATTGACTTTGAAATGAAGAATTCAAAATCCCGGTAGTTTTTCCATCCAAAATTTTTTTGAATAATATTCCTAATATGAATAAAGTTCCTCCTTAATATTCTCTTTCATTTTCACGAAATGTACCGGACTCCCCTTTCATGTTTAAAAATCATGATATGTCATGATTGTAGAGAAAGATTGCTCTGAAGTCAGTGTGGCAGAAATTATGAAGCATTAAGAAAAATAATACTTTCTTTAATTTCAAACCTTTTCCTAGTTTTCCTTGAAATAACGAAATTTTAAATAAAGATGACATTTGGGAGTTTTATCAGGACCATATTCTACACTCTACACTCTACACTCTACACTCTACACTCTACACTCTACACTCTACACTCTACACTACTCTACACTCTACACTCTACACTCTACACTCTACACTCTACACTCTACACTCTACACTCTACACTCTACACTCTACACTCTACACTCTAAACTCACCGAAGAAAGCAAGTAAGTAATTACAAGCTAGATGATTGACTTATTTACTCCCTGCGTAGATTCATTCTTTACAAACAAACCCAACCTTGACATTCTAGAGAAGTATTACGTTTTATAAAAAATATGACCTGTTGTAAACATCTTTATTTGTTATGAAAAGAAAAATATTTTTCTTCATTTTCCGTTCTAAAGTTGAGAAGGAATATAAGGATACTCCGTCCCGAAGAAGATTGTTGAATGTTGATGTCAGGATTATTGCTTCTAAAAGTCGACTAAGACTAAAAACGAAAAACTAACGAAGGGTTTTATTAATTAAAAAATATGCAAAGGAACTGAACATTCGTCTCAAACATCCATATATCTTCATTTCATTTGACTATTTGATCTAGCAGTAATCATAGAGTGAAATATCTATATATCTTAGGACGCAAAGATATAAAGTTAAATCGTGAGAAAAGTTTCTTTCTTTGCAACATCCCTTTATTTATTAAGAAAAAATATCTTTGTAAATCGTTTATAAATATATTTTCTCGGATATTATTAAGTTAAGGTTTGTTAATTGACAGGTTTGTACAGATAATTGATGAGTTGGCTCGGCATAGGATTTATGTTTTCAGATCTTTGGAAAATTGAATTATCAAGATCTTTTATCTTTCCAGACGTACTTTTATTCAGAAAGAAAATAAACGATAAATAAAAATCCATAAACTTAATATCCTTCACTATTCTTGTAAAATAACCAACCCTGAATTAATCGGTGTCATAAATTGGAATTCAATAGTTTTTTCATCAACAATTTAACAATCTTTAAATTTATTGAGTTGTCTTTTTATATTTTACATTAAACACTCATTTGCCGACAAAAAAGAAAAGAGAGAAGAATCTAAAATTTTATGTTTATTTTGTCAAATTGTGATCGAAAAGCACAGTTAAATCCGCGCGTAATTATAAACGCTAAATATCCTGCATGCTTTTCACGCTTGCAAAAATTTTAAATAAAATCATCTGACTGAGCTTGAAGCAAACATGGTCAGAATTGATAATATTTCTTAATTTTATTTCAAAAATATTTTTTAAGCTATAAAGTCCTGAATATGGATCAAGGATGAATCCTTAGATAATTTTTAAAGGGAGCGGTCGCGAAATAAGGTGAAAATATATTCTATTAAAAAATTAATTGACATAATTTCTATCAGTTTGATGCATGTTTGATAAAATCCCCACTCCCACCTTTTACAATTCGTGACGTCCCCCTTTATCCCATTCTCCAGGTTTCAAGTTTTCCTAATTCAGGCAAATATTTTGCTTACTCAGCCAGGAGGATTGCCAAAAAGATAAGATATCCCCCTTGGAGAGAGGGAGGGGTGAGGGGGGGGAGGGAGGGAGGGCAGTATGACCTACTGAAAATAAGATCGTAAGTTTACTTTTAAACCCTAAAT